GAAAAAAATTCACAAATCTTTTTATTTTCACATAAAATAGTATAGATTCAAAATTTTCTTTTATGGTATTCTTTTAATATGTTACTTTAATGATTTTGTAATTCAATATATCAATACTTTTAATTTTTAATTGTATATATTTCTCATTATATTAATATTTTAATAGTTTTGTAATTTATATATAAACGACACGTAAGAAATTTTATTTAAATTTTCTTCTATTTTTTTAAAGTAAGAAAATAATTAATTTTATATACATTGTTAAAATATTTATATTGTTAATTAATTGTGTTATTTAATTATTAAAATATTTTAATTTTTAACTTTACCGCCACTAATTTCTCATTTATAAAATTTTAGTTAATTAATGGACTAAAGCTTTTTATATTAACTCTATTGAATATATTCTTTAATAGTGAAAATGATTTTTTTTTTGTGAAAATACTTTTTTTTGTGAAAATACTTTGTATTTTAATTTGACTTGTAAACAACGAAAAATAAACTTGATATTTATTTTGTATTTTAAAAAATAAAAATTATTTTTATTAAAGTTAGATTTTTATGCAATTTCATTTGATTAAACGGTCAATCAAAAAACCTAACACAATTTTTTAAGAAATAGAAAAAAAAAACACACAAATATTTTTATTTTCACGTAAAGGAATATAGATTCAAAATTTTCTTCTATGATATTCTTTTAATATGTTTCTTTAATGGTATTGTAATTCATTAAATTAATACTTTTAATTCTTAATTGTATATATATTCTTCAACGATCTCCTTTTTCATTTTTATATTTTGAAGTTTGTATTTTTATTTTCTAATATTTGAAATTTATATAATTGTTATATTGTGAATACATTTGATTGCCATATAAAATATTGTGATATATAGGAATAATAATCAAGTTCTCCGAAATAAATAATTATCAAGTTTTGAAGTTAAGTAATTTATGGATAAAACTAAAATATAATTTTTTTAAGTGTAATTTTTATTATTTTTTTAATAAAAATATGACAAATATATTTAAATATTAATTAAGAAGTAAAAATTGTATATGTGTAAAAATAATTATATATTTGTCATATTTTCGTTAGAAAATAATAAGAATCGTACTTAAAGAATTGTATCTATATTTTGTTCATAATTTATTTATATAAATTGATTATATATTTTTTTGGTATTATATTTCTGATATTTTATTTACAATATTTTTTCAATATTTCCATATATTTTTATAGAATGTCGCCAAAAAATATTAGTTTATTAGATTGTTTATCTGTTGGGTCAAATATTCTTTAAATAAATTATTTATTTTAATTACCAATACATTGAATATAGTATTTTTTTTAAAATATTCTTTAAATAAACTATTTATTTCAATTACCAATTGAATACAATATTTTCATAAAAAAACCATATCTTTTTATTTCTTTAAATAGTTAATTACTTTACTTTTTAATAAATTGAATAAGTATTTCTAACAAAATATTCTTTTTTAAATTCTTAAAGAGTACCTCTAAAACAACCGATAATATTTCTATTATTTATTTAGTTTTTCGATAATAAAATAATAATTATTGTATAACAAAACTGAGATTATTACACCCACTACTTTTAAGCCCAATAGACAATTTATAGTTGTAGCCCATTACTTGAGTTTATTAACGAAATCTGATTTATTTTTTTGGTGAGATTTTTACTTGAGGAAATCTGGTGTCAATTTCCCCTTTCAATTTTTTCAATTTAATTATTTGTTTAATATTCAATAAAAAAGTGACTCAAATTCTAGTGGAACAAATTTTCATTGAAGAGAATTTGTTACCATTATTTAGTCATATTTTCTAACACTATAGTTTAGATTGATTTCCCATCACTAATAGCTTGATGAAGCACTTGTGATTTTGTGTTTTGAAAACAAGTGACTAGTCTATTAACAATGGCATCATTGTTCCTCCACAAGATTGGTTGCTTGGATTCAAAAATCAATTTGAAATTGCAGAATTCAAATCACGAATTTGGACAGCATCAACATCAATTTCAAAGAGGACAATTCTTAAATTTTCTTGGAAGAAAGAATGCAGTATCTATTATTTCGAATTCTTTTCATATTCATAAACTCCAATCTATCAGGTTTCTCACTTTCACTTATTTTTTTTATTTAATTTTTTTATATCTCAATTACGAAATTTGTATGATATATATATAATTCAAACTCATACACAAACATCCGAAAGATTTATTTTAGTCCATTTGAAAAAAATTTAAATAATTAAAAACTATTTATTTATTATGCATAAATGCCATAATCTTTCATTAGTTTTGGCTACACATAACATGAATTAGCATTCTCAAGTTGATTTTGCTGAGTTAGGGAAATAGAAACTAATTTCCATAATTTTAAAATAGTATTAATTGATTTCATTATAACTTTTTATGGACATATAGGATATTATTACATTTTTTTAAATATATCTCTAGTCATTGATTATAATTTATTTTATATTATTACCTAATTTGGTTGAGGAAATGCTTATCACGATTGAACAATATTCTAGAAGCAAATAATATTATACTTTTTTGATAAAACAAAATAATAATAATACTATTTATCATTATTATTTTACATAACAATTTAATTGTTTCTGGACAAACAGTTATGAATTACTTACTGTATTATAAGAAAATGATAATCAAGCAAGGAGGTAAGGGTGACATGAATAAGCCTAACTCCCAACTATAACCTAAACCCATGCTATAATCGATATTAATTTCAAACATATCACCGATTTAATTAAATGAAATGCTACCTATATGTTAAATTAAAAAATTTGTAATTGCTAGATAATACAAAAATGATAGTGATGGATGTTATCTAAGTGCAAGATTATTTCTTTTTAAAAGTTACTATCTAATTTTATGGTCAACTAATTCTAGAGAATAATTTTACTTTTCATTAGCCAAGATTCTATTTAAATTTATTTAAAAATTATTAATATATAATGGAATTCAAACGTAAAACTTAAAGAAAAAAACACATTCTTAAATTTCAAATATTCACCGATAAACAAACTCTCCTTATATTTTTTATTAAACCTATTTTATTGAATTATTTATCGATGTTCATATTTCACTAATTCAACATTAATAATGATTGTTTTTAATTTTTTTAATTAAAAATGATTATTTAAAATATTAAGTTTTATGTCTTTGTCAATAAGACATATTGTCTTATTCTTTAAGATAAACACAAAACCACATCTCCTAGATGAACATCATATAACCACATCTCATAGATGAACACATGAACAACATATATATTTTACTTGGATAACATAGTATACATATTTAAAAAGTCAACTCTTGATTTTTCTTCTTCTTATTTTTACATCAAATCTCTGATAAATTTATTTTATCCTAGATGTTAATATTATATTGATATTTTTTGTCTATTGTAATTTAATATTTATTTTAAAATAAATTATATTCAAATTAAAAATAAGTGTTAAGTTAACTCAATTCATGATTATGCAGAGACATCATATACAAAATCATGAGTACGATAGTTGTGGATAGACATCATAGAAAAGAACAGTTAGAGGGGGTTGTTGTTGTGATTGTAGTTTCCATATTTGACTGATTAGGAAGAAGGGTTGGTGGTGGGAACCGCCACGACAACAACTCATAAGTCAATAAACCCAAATTCATCACTTCTTCATCATATAATACAAAACAAAAAACCATTCTTTCTTACAAAACAACGTGCATTTTTCCAACCCCAATTCATACTATTATCAATCAAAATCCAATTTTTTTTACTGGGTTGTCAAATTCAGTGTTGAATAGTTATTATAGTTTTAGAGAGAGAAAGTGGGTAGCTGGGAACTACTACTAGTATTTAGGAGAGAGAGAGAGAGACAGAGGGGTTGTGGCAGTGGCAGGTACCACGTGCTTCCTTCATTCAAGACACCCATCAAACCTTAACCCAAACCAAACCTACCTCTTTTTCTATTTCTTTGCTTGCTTTTTGCATGATCATCATTTACATACATGCATTCATTCATTCACCTCAACACACTTATTATAATTCACCTTCCATAACCTCTATATTTCAATGCTTCTTCTCAAACAATAAACTTTGCTAAATTATTCATCATTTGTTCCAAGGTTTGTGTCTATGCTCCTTTTATTTTTTATGCTAATTCACTGTGTTTGGTTGTTGATTTTATCTTGTTTTGTTTTCAAGTTTAGAAAGTTTTATGCTTAGGTTAATTTTATTTTGTTCATGAAGGAATAGAAAAGAAATGAAAGGAAAGATTTTTATACCCAATTTCTTTACAATTGTTCAAAAAATTGTGTTTTTATTTGGTGGGTTGGTTCAATTTTGTTTTGGTATGCTAAATCACAAGGTGGGGGTGGTTAATTGGTTGAAAAAGTTTGTATGATAGCAATCATTAGATACTGCTTTTTTTTTTTTTGGGGGGGGGGTTCAATACCGAATCTGAAAGTAAGTGATGGAAAGAGAGAGAAAGAGAGAGAGATTCTCAACTACTAGGCTGTGTTTGGCTGTTTCTATCTTGCAGTGAAAGCTGTGAGATTGGGATTGATGGATTTGTGATAGAGTTTAATGGCTAGAGCTCTGATTTGCCAAAATTGAGTTAGTTACCTTCATAATCAGTTTTAGCTCTTTTAGTGCTTTGAAATTGGAGTTTCTTACCAAGTCCATATATGGTTGACCAAACAGAACCTAAGATTTTTTTTTGTTATTTTATTCTTTATACTCTGTCAATCTTGCAAGATAAGTTAATATAGATTTTTTTCTATTACTTGTTTATATGTTTATAAGAAGCTACATGAATAATATTATTAAATTTTTCTGTTTGTGAATAAGCGATATCAATTGGAGCAAAGAAAAAAAATTTATATGCTTTGAGTTTCTGCTGATCTACTTTTTTTTTTTACCGTGTAGTATATTGGAGACAGCTAGAAAGAGAACTATAATGGCTAGCGCTGGGCATGGAAATGGACTCATAAATGGTGTGGTATCGAATAAGCACACTGCTACAATATCTGAAGTAGATGAATTCTGCAATGCCCTTGGAGGAAATAGGCCGATTCATAGTATATTGATTGCGAACAATGGAATGGCGGCTGTCAAGTTTATACGCAGTGTTAGGAGTTGGGCTTACGAGACATTTGGCACGGAAAAGGCTATCTTGTTGGTTGCCATGGCTACTCCAGAAGATATGAGAATCAATGCAGAACATATCAGAATAGCTGATCAGTTTGTGGAAGTACCTGGTGGGACCAATAACAATAACTACGCCAATGTGCAGCTTATTCTAGAGGTATGTGATGTCGACTTCATGAGATTACTGCAGCTTATTTATTCTTGTCATTTAAATGATTTCAGTGCTTATGTAATTGTGATTATTTTGATCTGCATAACTTGTTAATTTTGCTGACGGCAATGCAATGTGTTTTCCAGATTGCCGAGATAACTCATGTTGATGCGGTATGGCCTGGTTGGGGTCATGCATCAGAGAATCCCGAGCTACCAGATGCATTAAAAGCAAAAGGAATTGTATTTCTTGGGCCTCCTGCAGTATCTATGGGGGCATTGGGAGATAAAATTGGTTCATCGTTGATCGCTCAAGCAGCCAATGTGCCAACCCTTCCATGGAGTGGTTCACATGTAAAGTTTTTCTCCCATTGTAGTTGTATTTCATTTGTATGGGTTACCCGACTTATGACTTTGTAATTTTTCCACAGGTGAAAATTCCTCCTGAAAGCTCCTTGATTACTATTCCTGATGAAATCTACCGAGCAGCATGTGTTTATACAACAGAAGAAGCAATTGCAAGTTGTCAAGTTGTTGGATACCCTGCAATGATCAAGGCGTCTTGGGGTGGTGGTGGTAAAGGCATAAGAAAGGTTTGCTTCCTTATGGTCAACTCTGTAACATGTAGAAAATTGTATAGTATCTATCTATGAAGCAGTGACACAAACATACGACATTGACACTGACATGTTGACACCGATAATAATTTGAGAACATGAAAGTTATCGGAAATCTGGCACACGTTAAATCTGAAGCATCGGTGCTTACATAGATCAATGCTGATAATCTTGTGCCAATCATATTTTTGTGTGTTTTGTTTGGTAAAAGTTAAGAAACTAACATGCATGTGGATATTTTAGGTTCATAATGATGATGAGGTAAGGGCATTGTTCAAGCAAGTTCAAGGTGAAGTTCCGGGATCACCTATATTTATAATGAAAGTTGCTTCCCAGGTTAGATAAACCACTGAACTTTGATCTGAGTGAGCTTGATTCTTGGAGTTTTGATCATATGCTGACGATCTCTCTTGCTTCTAAATAGAGCCGGCATCTTGAAGTCCAACTGATTTGTGATCAGTACGGAAATGTTGCAGCTTTACACAGCCGTGATTGCAGTGTTCAACGAAGGCATCAAAAGGTATGAAAATTTTCTGTTACTAGTTACTACACCAAATTGTCACGATGGAATGAATCTCGGTAATGACATAATCAATCATCTGGAACAGATTATTGAGGAGGGTCCGATTACTGTAGCACCCCCAGAAACGGTGAAAGAACTTGAACAAGCGGCTAGAAGATTAGCTATATCTGTAAATTATGTTGGGGCAGCTACAGTTGAGTATCTTTATAGCATGGAAACTGGCGAGTACTACTTTTTAGAGCTGAACCCCCGTCTACAGGTGTTGTACTATAACCTTGATTTTAGGCACACCATAATTAATTTGTTTTTCTCTTATGGCTTGATTGCTTCTCCTTCTGACCTTGACATAGGAACTTTATCTTAGTATTTTGTTGCCATGTTTCTAATATTTCCTGATGTTGTTTTGCATTTATTGATATATAGGTTGAGCATCCTGTTACTGAATGGATAGCTGAGATAAATCTGCCAGCAGCACAAGTTGCCGTTGGGATGGGTATCCCTCTCTGGCAAATTCCCGGTATAGCTTCAGATATAATATTTTTACTATTATTGCTTTCGTACATATATTTCACGAGTCTCACACTCATACTTAACAGAGATTAGGCGTTTCTATGGGATGGAACATGGTGGAGGGAATGATGCTTGGAGGAAAACATCAGTTTTAGCTACCCCTTTTGATTTTGACAAAGCACAGTCTACAAAGCCAAAGGGTCATTGTGTGGCTGTGCGAGTGACTAGTGAGGACCCCGATGATGGTTTTAAGCCTACAGGCGGGAAAGTGCAGGTTAACTGCTATATCCAACAGAAATTTCATCTTTAATTCATTCATCGCATAATATATACTGAGTTAAAATATTTTTACAGGAGCTCAGCTTTAAAAGCAAACCAAATGTTTGGGCTTACTTCTCTGTTAAGGTAAATCTTCTATCTCTTTGTTTGTACTTTTAATTTGATTGGCGAGGCACTAAATTTTGGCAATTATATGTTTGCAGTCTGGAGGAGGAATCCATGAATTTTCAGATTCTCAATTTGGTATGCAGTAACTTTGATCGAGAAATTGCAGATTCTAAGCTATCATGTTGATATTTTAATGTATAGATATATATTTTCTCAGCAGCTAATATCATAAGTTTTAACACAGGACATGTTTTTGCCTTTGGAGAATCAAGGGCTTTAGCAATTGCAAATATGGTTTTGGGGCTGAAGGAAATTCAAATTCGAGGAGAAATTCGTACTAATGTTGATTATACAATTGATCTTCTGAATGTAAATTTTTATCATGATGACAAGCTAGTTTTATGAAACTTGTTTATTATGCAGAAGTAACACTATTATAATATTTTATCTCAGGCATCAGACTACAGAGATAACAAAATTCACACTGGATGGCTGGATAGTAGAATTGCAATGCGGGTTAGAGCAGAGAGACCTCCTTGGTATCTGTCTGTTGTTGGAGGGGCACTCTATGTAAGCAAACTTTCTTATTCTTAATTTTATCATTTTCTCCTCGAGTTTTTGGTATTTTCTCACGTTCAAATTCATGATCTGTGGCTTCTTCTAATTAATACAGAAAGCTACTGCTAGTAGTGCTGCTTTGGTTTCAGACTATGTTGGCTATCTTGAGAAGGGGCAAATCCCTCCTAAGGTATTATATCCAAATGGGAAAAACGTGTATCTAACTCCGTGCTTATTTTTTAGTGAGACTAATGTTTTTTTTATTTTTTATAATTATGCCAGCACATATCTCTTGTCCATTCTCAAGTGTCCTTAAGCATTGAAGGAAGCAAATATACTGTATGTAATCTTATAAGTTCAATTTGATAGACATTCTTAGTAATTCCCTTACCTTTTTTGGGGACTTACGCTATCCTATGCAATGCTCAATTTGCATGACTCATCTTCCAAAACAACTATGTATGTAGATTGACATGATACGAGGAGGACCTGGGAGTTATAAACTGAAATTGAATCAATCAGAGATAGAAGCGGAAATTCATACTTTACGTGATGGAGGTTTGTTGATGCAGGCAAGTATTATTCTCTGAACTATCTATGCATTTGAACTTTTGTAGCTCTCTTCATTGGATTATTACTCAATATAGTCAATTTTATAGCATAAGTTTCTTTGATTTCTTAACTGTTAGTTTCCATTTGTTACAGTTGGATGGAAACAGTCATGTAATATATGCAGAGGAAGAAGCAGCTGGAACTCGCCTTCTAATTGATGGAAGGACTTGCTTGCTTCAGGTGAAACTAATTTATTTCTACCCTTTAAAAATTCGATTTCTTTTTAAGGTGGCTGAGGTGACTAAACCCCTTTCATATGCAGAATGATCACGATCCATCAAAGTTAATTGGAGAGACTCCATGCAAGCTTCTGAGATATTTGGTTGCAGACGACAGTCACATTGATGCAGACACACCATATGCTGAAGTTGAGGTCATGAAGATGTGTATGCCTCTTCTCTCCCCTGCTTCTGGGATTATTCATTTCAGAATGGCTGAAGGTCAAGCCATGCAGGCTGGTGAGCTTATAGCAAGGCTTGATCTAGATGATCCTTCTGCTGTAAGAAAGGCAGAACCCTTCACTGGGAGCTTCCCAATCCTGGGCCCTCCTACAGCAATTTCAGGTAAAGTTCATCAGAAATGTGCGGCAAGCTTAAATGCTGCACGGATGATTCTTGCTGGCTACGAGCACAATATTGATGAAGTGAGTAAATTCCTCCCCTTAATTATTGTACAAAATTATTCTGACATTATTTTTGGATTTTATTATTATTCGAAACTTGTATTTGGCTTTCTTATTAACAAGCTAGACATCTGTGTCAGGTTGTGCAAAGTTTGCTCAATTGCCTTGACAGCCCTGAATTACCTTTCCTTCAATGGCAAGAATGCTTTGCAGTTCTGGCAACCCGTCTTCCTAAAGATCTAAGAATTGAGGTAAAGGGACACCTTGCCCGTTTTTCACTCTGATTTAATGTTTTCTGACGTGATCTGACCTACCCTTCAACTATTCTGGTTTGTAGTTGGAAGCTAAATATAAGGAGTTCGAGATTAATTCAAGCTCCCAAAATATTGATTTCCCTGCCAAATTATTGAAGGGAATTCTTGAAGTGAGTTGATGTTCCTGAATTGCTCATTCTGATATTTTCCGTTTTAATACAAATAAATTCATGGTGGGTGTTTTATACTGCAGGATCATCTTTTCTCCTGTGCTGATAATGAAAAAGGAGCCTTAGAAAGACTAGTTGAACCTCTGATGAGTCTTGTAAAGTCTTATGAGGGTGGAAGAGAGAGCCATGCCCATAAAATTGTACAATCTCTTTTCGAAGAGTATCTCTCAGTCGAAGAACTATTTAGTGATAATATACAGGTTAGTGTGATTATTTGATTGCTTGTACTAATTTTATGTGTGCAACTTAATCTGTTATGACCTTTTGACTTCTACCAACCAAATTAGCTTTTCTAGATGATGTTCAAAAAATGCATGATGAGTTGTTTTTCTTATTTAGCTTTTACAACACACTGGAATCAACTATTCGTTGTATGTCTCTGTGCTCATAACAAAAAACCCATCAACTCTTTTATTTTTCTTCATTTTTATGTTCATTTCATTGAACTATTTGTTTATCATTCAACTACTTTTAAGCTAAGAAGGAATTTTTACATAAAAGACATACAATGTATTTCTAATTATTCAGTTTCCCCGAATAATATTCATAACAATTCCCCTTTCCCCTGCCATCTAGGCTGATGTAATTGAACGACTCCGTCTTCAATACAAGAAAGATTTGTTGAAGATTGTAGATATTGTGCTCTCTCATCAGGTATACACTTTTATAACATACTCAGCTTGAGTGATTTTCCTCCTGGATGTCTTGTTAACACGGTATTGCAATTATATTAACTGCATTTCATGGGTTTCAGGGTGTCAAGAGCAAAAATAAGCTGATACTGCGACTAATGGATAAACTGGTTTACCCTAATCCTGCTGCCTATAGGGACCAATTGATCCGATTCTCCCAACTCAATCATATTATTTATTCTGAGGTTGGTAATGCTATATAGAGGTTTCTTTGACCTGCATCATGTGATATTTTAAAGTGTTACAGTGCCTCTTTTAGTATTTATTTTGTGTATGATATTTTTAATTTCTTTAGATCATTTTGATTTGAATCCTGATTTGTGATCATCTTGACGCAGTTGGCTCTTAAGGCTAGTCAACTTCTTGAACAAACTAAACTGAGTGAACTTCGATCCAGCATTGCACGAAGTCTTTCTGAACTAGAAATGTTTACTGAGGATGGTGAAAATATTGATACTCCAAAGAGGAAGGGTGCCATTAATGACCGAATGGAGGACCTTGTGAGCGCTCCTTTGGCAGTTGAAGATGCTCTTGTGGGCTTATTTGATCACAGTGATAACACCCTTCAAAGGAGGGTTGTGGAAACTTATATACGTAGGCTTTACCAGCCGTATCTTGTCAAAGGCAGCATCAGGATGCAGTGGCACAGATCTGGCCTTATTGCTACGTGGGAGTTCTTAGAAGAATACGTTGAACGGAAGAACGGGGTTGAAGACAAAACACTGGTGGAGAAACATAGTGAGAAGAAATGGGGAGTGATGGTTGTAATTAAATCTCTTCAATTTTTGCCAGCAATTATCAGTGCTGCATTAAGGGAAGCAACCAATAACTTTCACGATGCACTTAAAAGTGGTTCTGTCGACTCAAATAAGCACGGTAATATGATGCATATTGGACTAGTGGGCATCAACAACCAAATGAGTTTACTTCAAGACAGGTGCAGTTTCGGAAATTAAATACATTTTTTCGAACCTAATTTTTGTTTTTTTGTTTTTTCTTTGATTTGTCAAAGCATCAATGGTTGTATTGTAGTGTAGCTTAACTTTTTGGTCTTTTGCAGTGGTGATGAAGATCAGGCTCAAGAAAGAATCAATAAGTTGGCCAAAATACTCAGAGAGCAGGAAGTAGGGTCCATAATACATGCTGCCGGTGTTGGAGATATTAGCTGTATCATACAGAGGGATGAAGGGCGTGCTCCAATGAGGCATTCCTTCCACTGGTCAGCAGAAAAGCTATATTATGAAGAGGAACCCTTGTTGCGGCATCTGGAACCTCCGCTATCCATTTATCTTGAATTGGTCAGTTATTTCACGCTTCAAGTTCCTGTTTTATTATAGAAGGTGCAAAAGAAACATATTTCACTCATATGCTTGATCTTTAACTCATTTAATATTTGTCTGATTACAGGACAAACTTAAAGGCTATGAGAATATACGCTATACACCATCCCGTGATCGTCAATGGCACCTCTACACTGTTGTGGATACCAAGCCACAACCAATTCAAAGAATGTTTCTTCGAACACTTCTCAGACAGCCAACCACAAATGAAGGATACTCTGCTTATCAAAGGGTAGATGCAGAAACGTCTCGTACCCAATTGGACATGTCCTTTACTTCAAGGAGCATTTTTAGGTCCTTAATGGGTGCAATGGAGGAGTTGGAACTTAACTCACATAATACCACCATCAAATCTGAACATGCTCATATGTACCTCTACGTCCTACGTGAGCAACAAGTAGATGATCTTGTCCACTATTCCAAGTAATTATTACTGCAAACTTCTCCGTACATATACATATTTTTAATAATACTTATATTCTATTAGCGTAACGTAAAAAAGATTTCATCTCGTTCTTACAATTTTGGATGTTAATACCAGAAAAATCAACATAGATGCCGGTCAAGAAGAAACAACAGTAGAGACAATCTTGGAAGAACTGGCACAGGAAATCCATTCCTCTGTTGGTGTAAGAATGCATAGATTAGGAGTTTTTGTATGGGAAGTGAAGCTCTGGATTACAGCATGTGGACAGGCAAATGGTGCTTGGAGGGTCATTGTAAACAATGTTACTGGTCATACATCCACTGTACATGTAAGTTTTTTAGTTTCTTAAAAATTTAAAGGAAAACTTCCTGCATGCTCTTCCCTCTCAGATTCATGATTTTTAAAATTCAGATATATCGGGAAATGGAGGATGCCACCACTCATAAAGTGGTTTACAGTTCAGTCACAGTAAAGGGTCCACTGCATGGTGTACCAGTGAACGAAAACTATCAACCTTTGGGAGTTATTGACCGAAAACGTCTCGCAGCAAGAAAGAGTAGCACCACATACTGCTATGATTTTCCCCTTGTAAGTTATTTTGAATGAATTTAGTGATAATTTCCCCTTTGTAAGTCAAATTAGGTTATCTGATGAGAAATGCTTCTTGCAGGCGTTTCAAACATCCTTGGAACAGTCATGGTCAATTCAACAGACAGGAGTTCAAAGAGCCAAAGATAAGGATCTCTTAAAAGTAACTGAGCTTAAATTTTCAGAGAAAGAAGGTAGCTGGGGTACTTCTCTTGTTCCTGCAGAGTGTCCTCCTGGACTCAATGATGTTGGCATGGTAGCCTGGTTGATGGAAATGTGTACTCCTGAATTCCCATCTGGAAGGACAATATTGGTTGTTTCGAACGATGTTACATTCAAGGCTGGTTCTTTTGGCCCAAGGGAGGATGCCTTCTTTAGAGCAGTAACTGATCTTGCCTGTGCTAAGAAAATACCTTTAATTTACTTAGCAGCAAATTCTGGTGCCCGTTTAGGTGTAGCCGAGGAAGTCAAAACTTGTTTCAGAGTTGGTTGGTCTGAGGAATCTAAACCTGAGCATGGTTTTCAGTATGTATATTTAACACCTGAGGACTATGCTCAAATTGGATCATCAGTGATGGCACATGAATTAAAACTTGAAAGTGGAGAAACTAGATGGGTTATAGATACCATTGTTGGTAAAGAAGATGGACTGGGAGTTGAAAACTTGAGTGGCAGTGGGGCCATTGCCGGTGCCTATTCAAGGGCGTACAAGGAAACCTTTACATTGACATATGTGACTGGTAGGACTGTTGGAATCGGTGCTTATCTTGCTAGGCTTGGGATGAGGTGCATACAGAGGCTTGATCAGCCTATAATTCTTACCGGTTTTTCAGCATTAAACAAACTTCTTGGTAGGGAGGTGTACAGCTCTCACATGCAACTTGGTGGACCTAAAATCATGGCAACTAATGGAGTTGTTCATCTTACTGTTTCGGACGACCTTGAAGGTGTTTCTTCTATTTTGAAGTGGCTTAGCTACATTCCTTCTCATGTAGGTGGTGCACTTCCCATTGTAAAACCCCTCGATCCCCCAGAGAGAGAAGTGGAGTATTTACCGGAAAATTCATGTGATCCTCGTGCGGCCATATCTGGAACTCTGGATGTTAATGGAAAATGGCTTGGAGGAATTTTTGACAAGGACAGCTTTGTGGAGACACTAGAAGGATGGGCAAGGACAGTTGTTACGGGAAGGGCAAAGCTTGGAGGAATCCCTGTGGGAATTGTTGCAGTAGAAACACAAACGGTTATGCAAATAATACCTGCTGATCCTGGCCAGCTTGATTCTCACGAGAGGGTTGTTCCTCAAGCCGGGCAAGTGTGGTTTCCTGATTCTGCGACCAAGACGGCCCAAGCGATATTGGATTTCAACAGAGAAGAGCTCCCGCTTTTCATTCTCGCAAACTGGAGAGGCTTTTCAGGTGGGCAAAGGGACCTTTTTGAAGGAATTCTTCAGGCTGGTTCAACTATTGTCGAGAACCTTAGGACATACAAACAGCCCATATTTGTATACATCCCGATGATGGGTGAACTCCGTGGTGGGGCTTGGGTTGTTGTCGACAGTCGAATCAACTCAGACCACATTGAAATGTATGCCGAACGAACAGCTAAAGGTAACGTCCTTGAGCCAGAAGGAATGATTGAGATCAAATTTAGAACAAGAGAATTGTTGGAGTGTATGAGAAGACTGGATCAACAATTGATTACTCTGAAGGAAAAACTTTCAGAAGCCAAGAGTAACAAGGACTTTGCTACATATGATTCTGTGCAGCAACAGATTAGATTCCGCGAGAAACAACTTTTGCCTTTGTATACTCAAATAGCTACCAAATTTGCTGAGCTGCATGATACATCCTTAAGAATGGCTGCAAAGGGTGTAATCAGAGAAGTTCTTGATTGGCGTAACTCGCGTTCTGTCTTCTATCGGAGACTGCACAGAAGAATCGGTGAGCACTCACTGATCAACAGTGTGAGAGATGCTGCTGGTGACCAATTGTCACATGTATCTGCCATAAACTTGCTCAAAGACTGGTATCTGAATTCTGATATTGCCAAAGGTAGAGAAGAAGCCTGGTTAGACGACGAAGCATTCTTTAGATGGAGGGATGATCCTGCAAATTACGAGGATAAACTGAAGGAATTGCGCGTACAGAGACTGTTGCTTCAGTTGACAAATATTGGTGACTCGGCTCTTGATTTACAAGCTCTACCTCAAGGTCTTGCCGCACTTTTAAGCAAGGTAAAAACACTCTTGTCATTATATCATTTTTTTTTTGAACAAATTATATTGTTAGTTATATCAACTGTTTAATATTTTATCATTTGCTTCGTCATGTCCTGAAACATGGAGATATGATTATTTGAATTCTTGTGTGCAGTTGGAAGCATCAAGTCGCAATAAGTTGACTGATGAACTTCGCAAGGTACTAGGTTAGGAGACGATAAAAACTCTTGTAATCTGCCCACGCATTCATGCTGTATTGTGTTTGTGTCGTAGATGCATCACCGTGTAGTATTGTACCCATTTTATTTGTGCAATTGAATCCCTTGGATAGAATGTTATCAACAAGGGCAAGCAAATTGCAGCATCCCTAAGAAAATGGACTTTCACTTGAGGGATCAAACTGTAAATGATTTCAGTCTTGGATAGATATTTAATTTATGCAGTTAGAGGATCACAGCCAGCATCGCCATGGTTGATCGACTCTTTGCGTGTATCGGAATAAGTATGTAACATTGATTATTTTTTATGCAAAACAATTTTGGGCAGAGTTGAAATATGTTTCACAGCAAGTCTACAGCCCACCCATTTGCAGTGGATTTATGAACTTTTTAAACCAAAATATCAAGCTTTCCAACAAGTTTTGTCAGGATGTTGTTTCACGGCAGTGGCGGCGGGCGTGCGTGTATATCAGTCAACCACAAAATTGGCTACCCCTTGGGCCCAAAAGGCTTCAGGGCGTACACAATTGTCAACTTGGAACATATAAGCACTACTAAAGTGTGCTCTTCCTCCAATGTGGAGTTTTAATGAACCTTTTCAAATTCACCACCATACAGACTAGCTCATACTTGTGTTTATTTATTGTCATTAATCCATTGATTTCCAACAAAAGTGATTTAAGAAGGAACGCCAAACGTTTCTAAGATTGTGCATAAGCAGAAGTGTCTATGATTTGAACCTTTGTGTAACAAATAAGATTCTAATTTAACAATAGTGACAATTGTTTTGAATTATATCTTAGACATCAAATCCGCACACAACTTTTTCTTAAGGTGTTTAAATTGGATTTTAAATCAAAAACTTTTCTTTTAAAAATATTCTCCTTTAATTAAAATATTTTTTCTCCACTCTTGATAATAATAATAAGTAAGAACATGAATTATATCTTAGACATCAAATGAGGACTTAATTCAATAATTCAACTGAGTATTATAATGCACAAGTTATCCGCAAGTGACTAACAAAAATCTCTCAGACACACAAGTCCTAGACTTCTTAAGGATACAAACTTAACTGATCCCTTAAGGAAAATCAGATCTCTAAGACACACTAGTCCTAGACTTCTTAAGGATACAGACTTAACCGGTCCCTTAAGAAAAATCAAACAACTATTTGAATACAAGTTTTGTTTACAAGAATATTGCTTCTACACAAGTTGAATATGTAAACTATTTTAAGAACAATAGACTAAAAAGTATGAAAGCTATGAACAGTGCTTTTGTGTGAATATTCAATGAATTAGCTTCTTGCTTTCTCTCTTAGTCTTCAAGTCTTTATATAGCTAATAAAATAATATATCAATTGAGGAGTACTCTTGAGATTTCCAAAAACATTGGCGGCTTGAGCAATCACGTGAGGGACAAGATCGTGCGACGCGTCCGTCCTTTCATGGTAGTGAAATGAAAAGTTTTTTATTGTACCATATAATATTGTACCACGTTAACGTTATCTTATTTCCTTCTTCACTTCAGAGGCTTCCGCGAGCATGAGTTTAGAACTAAGAACATAACATAAGGTCATCAGAACTTCAAGTCTTCAGAACCACGTCTTCAGAGTCTTCAACACTTGGTTGTGAGAACTTTTTCTTAGAATCTTGGGTCTTTAGAACTTCAAGTCTTCAAAGCCTTTAGAACTTTTGTCTTCAGAGTCTTCAGGACGTGGTCTTTAAAACTCTTTTCGTAGAACCATGGGTCTTTAGAACTTTAAGTCTTCAGAACTGTTGTCTTCAGAATTTTCAGCACTTGGTCTTTAGAACCCTTTGTCCATAAAAATCTGAGTCTTCATCATCTGGATTTAAGTAGAACTTTTGTCTTCAGATCTTCTGACTTGTTTCTTTAGAACGCGTTGTCTTTAGAAGCATGAGTCTTCAGCATATGGATTTAAATAGAACTTTTGTCTTCAGATCTTCTGACTTATTTCTTTATACAAACATCAGAGCCTACACTTCAGAAGCTTCTGAAGTGTCTTGCTACTGCTCATCAGAACTTGTGTAGCGTAGAAACAAAACTAATTCTCTTCTAGTGTCTTGGCCACGCTATCCATCAGAAGCAGAACCTGTTTGTTAAATACTCAAAAATAACAAACATTACAGTATCAAAGTTGTTCGTACAAACATACTCATTTGTTATCATCAAAACTCAGAGATAATATTGCAAAACCAAATCTTGTTCTAACAATCTCTCCCTTTTTGATGATGACAAATATTATGTATTTTAATGACATAATTTTGTTCATATAATCAGAAAAAGTGAAAATAAAAAGGTAAGAAATACTTATCCTTTTTATGGAACACCCCCCGAATCAACGACTTGATGAAGTTCGAATATCCTGACTCTGAATCATTTGAGTAAAAACTCTCCTTGGTTCTAATAGATTATATATTGAGATCTTGAGAGTTTTGACTCTAATGCCAATGAAAATGAAATCAATTGAAATCTTGAAACTTTAATGTCACTAAGACAACTACCAGATTCTCAATTCTTGGAGTCTGATTATAAACTGAAAAATATCTTTAGAGTCTGAAGCCAACATATTAGACATAAGCCTTGTATAATGCATTCAGATCTCTGTCTTTAATCAGAGTTCACATTTCTTGAAAAAGAAAACACTTCTAATAGGAAAAAAAGTTTAACTGAGTTAGAATGTAAGCAGCTCTTTTCAGAGAATATTTTTTAGAATTTGATTATTGAAATTAAAATTATGTTCATTTAATTACTCCCCCTTTTTGTCATAATCAAAAAGGTAATTATGTGTAAAAACATAAAAACCAGAAGAAATAACAGGAAAAGATAAGAAATTTCATTGATATTTGAAAATGATTACAACAGAAGGAGAAACAACATAGTGAAAGCAAACAAGGAAAACTATCTAAACTTCAAACACATCACAACTCTCATAAAATAGAGCATTGCCTCTGATGAACGGGTTTCTTCGAACAGTTTCAATTACACCAGTTAACTCAAACAGTTCAGAAAATACACATCCATAAGGAATGAATGATTTTTGGGAGTTTCTGGATGCAAGAATTGATAACTTCATATGATTAAATATTATTGCCGAAAGATGAATTGGAGTACTCTTGCGAAAGAAATAAAGAAGACACATATCCCTAGGAAAAACTTTATCAAGATCTTTCCCTCTGGGATGAAAGTTTCTCAATAAGAACTGAAACCAGATTTTTGCAAGCGGTTTCAAATGATCTAAATTAAGGGGCTCATATCTAAAGGGAGAATTAGTAAATCTTGGAAACACATCAACATTTATGCAAGAGTTGGGTAACGATGGATTCTAGATGACTACATCAATGGAGGAGCGAGTGATGATAATCAGAATACCAAAAATATGAGAATGAATGAAGTTTCCATCAGGACTGACAAAAACATGAAGCCAGAAATTCTTCACGAGGTTAGGATAAATAGGACCTCTAAGAATTGTTGCATACCCATATCATTCTTGATTTTCAATAAAACTGTTGATGAAACCATCATCAGACACATAGTTGGGTCTTTTCTCTTTGATTACTTCGAGAAGATATTCATCTCCTTGAAAGGTTCTAACAGCCATGGTATACATAAAAGCTTGAAGAGAAGAAATAATTGAAGATGATACAAGGATAAGGACTTGATGAAGGACTATAGATGAGAGGAGATATAAATAGTTAGTCAAGTCGTTCAAGAAATGATATGATTGAAGCACTCAAAGGAATTAATTCAGAGAGAGAGGGAGAGAATCAAATGACATCATAGACTGCTAAAAGTAGGAAATGAAAAGAGAAGTAGATCAAAAGTTAAGATATAAGAACACGAAAACACTTAATTAAAGCCCGACAGGGCAGATCTTAGCAGTCGTATTAGACAAAACATAGGAAAACGACACGAAATAACTATTCCCAAGACACAAGAGATAGGAGCAATTAATAAATATAATCATGATTAATCAATTACAAGAAAAATAATTGCTCGTGCATTGCCTAGGTAGAGTGTGATAGACACTAAGCCTATTTAGGTGATGTGTTTGATATTCTTAGCATCTGGAAAAACCATGAAGGTTTCTATCTGATCAGAGACATTTCTGATCGAAACATCTTCTGATGACTGAGGTAAAAGAAATTAGAAGGTATTTGATTGAGTCAGAGTCTTATCACTTCATACTAAGACTAAAAAACATTTGATTCTAATGAAATCTTACTCTGGACATAGATCCATTTTCAGATTCTTTAGAATAAACATAAATCTATCTTCAGCTAAGAGTTTCGTAAAAATATCATTCCACCGATGGTCTGTATCTAAGATTTTTAAAGATGGAATTTTTTCTGAACATAGTCTCTAATAAAATGATATTTGATTTCTATGTGTTTATCCCTAGAGTGTAAGATAGGATTCTTACTCAAACAAATAACAGCAGTATTGTCACAGAAGATAGGAATGTTACTCTCATAAATCTGATAATCTTTCAGCTGATTCTTCATCCAGAGCATCTGAGTGCTGCATAGTACTGCTGAGATATACTCTACTTCTGCAGTTGAGAGAGCAATTGTTAATTTCCTTTTGCTTGATCATGAGATCAGATTATTTCCTAAAAACTGACAATTTTTTAGAATTACTCTTCCTCTCTAGTCTATCTCCAGCGTAGTCTGCATCGCAGAAACCAAAAAGTGTGTACTTTGATGTTTTCTCATACATTAAGCCAAGGTTAGTGGTTCCTTTCAGATAACTTAGAATTCTATTAACATCAGTTAAATGAGATCCCCTAGGATCAAATTGGAATCTAGCATAAAGATGAACACTAAATAAAATATCAGATTTAGATGCAGTCAGATACATAAGAGAGCCTATTATACCACGATACGACTTCTGACATACCATTCCACTTACCTTTTATTTTTCCAAAATGCATGTTGGATGCATCAGAGTCTTTGCTATAGTGCAGTCT